CAACAAATGCCAACTGCTGCTATGACCTTTATGGTCACACCAGGATGCCTCTGGCTTAGGCCTTCACTGATAACTGTCCCTGCCACCGGAATGAATGTCCTCTACTCTCTTCACCTGGCTAATTCTTCATGCCTCAGGTTTCAACCTAAATGCCTCTTCCTTAACAGTGCCCACATTCCAGCCCCTACAGTCTCTCTCTCCTTGTATTGCTTATCTGAGTTGCAGCCACACAGCTCTTTTGTTATTGTTTATTAAATGTCTGTTTTCCCCACTAAGCTCTAAGCCCTATGAGCCCACAACTGTGTTTACCCATCAAGCCTGACATATCAGAGGTGATCAATAAATGTCTATGCACTAGACAAACCACATAGGTTTACACTGCAGATGCATGGATGGACTCCTGGGTGAGAAACCATCTAGTTTGAGGCCTTGAATGGCAGCAATATACAGAGTCGTAGGTTTCGGACCCTTTGCTTGATGATGCTCCTCAGCTGTCCTTTTTAGACCACAGAATACGAGAGAGAATTCCTGAGCATCTGACTCCTTGTTGTGGATGACCAGATAGCCCAGAGATGTCAACTGGCCAAAGCGATGGAATGTGCGAGAAGGATGCTTCCCTTCTCCTTGGGAGACACACCAGTCTAGGTGTGCTGACACAGTTAAATTCCAGAAATACCAGTGAGTAGATCAGTGAGGCCATGTCATACCTGCCTTGCAAGACAAACAAGCCACAATTTGAGGGGGCAGGGAGGTGCCATAACTGTGCTGTGAGAGAAAGGAAGGGCCAGATATACAAACTGGAATATGCCCCAGTGCAGGTGGAGATGGGAAAAATGAATGAAGCTCTGTGAACAAGCCTGTACCTGCCAACACATCAGAGCTTTATCCCCAGGAGTTGTGGGCTCACTAGCCTGGATCCTGAGAAAACAGACTAGCTCACGATTGACATGCCAAGCAGATACAGCACAGGAAATTCTCCCAGGCCAGAGACCCTGGCCCCTGTGGCTAAAATCAGGATTACATCTGTGCAGATTTGCTTCCCAGCTGGGTTTCAGGAAAAGCCTCAAAAAGGCCACTAGATTGTGCTTGAGATTGGCAGGAGAGGCCAGCCTTTTTGAACAAAGGGCGAATGCACAAGGAGATACTCGAGGAAACGGTCCTCTTTTCTTCAGGAACACTCTTTGAGTCCCAGCTCTAGTCCCAGACAAGTGTGCTTGTGTGGACTAGAAAACAATCAAATGGCTTTCACAAGTTGAGTCCAAAGCAGAGGACATGCCAGCCGTGCTAGAAATGCCCAAAGCGATTTTGATCCTGAACTCAGTGGAGAGCCTATTGTTCAGCTGGAAATTTGTGGGGAAATTTTGGCTGTCACGGTGACTGGGGGTCACCATGACTATTCAGTACTCAGGGACCAGAATTGCCAGATGCCTGCAGTACATGTAGGGGACAGTCATGTCCCTTTTTCCCCTTTTTCTGTATGTTTCTAAATGTTTCACTAAACACCTAGTAGATAAAAAGCCAGTATTAAAAGGACCCCAACTTTATTTTGTATGTGAACACAGGTTTTGCTTTATTTTCACAATATTAATATACACTAACATTTCCAACAAGGCAACTTGGGCAAGCACCAAATAGGAAAACATGCTGCTTGGGGCAATGTCAGTCAAGGTGTTTGGATCACTGGTGCAATACACCTCTGTCAATCTTCATGTATTATTATGGTCTCCTTGGTCATCCTACACACTGATTTGTCTACTTCATAGGCCTGCCATCTTATGTCCCTATCCCCAAAGGTATTATTTCCCTGTATATGGCTTTTTCTTCTTTATATCACTGGTAAGACATTATGTTGACATGGGGGAGGAAGTTATGGGTGTCAGAAGGCTATATCATCTATAAATTGCATTTCAGGATGATAAGGGGGGTATCACAACTATTTATAAAATGAAGGACTGTGCTGTGGGAAACCTCAGGTGATTGCTTCTGAGCCTTGGCTGGGTGGGCAGTACAGAAGCAGCCATAGAGCTGATGAGCCCAGCTGTGTGTACCCTCAATATGTAGACATTCACTGGTTTCTCTATATGTGGCTTGAATGTGAAATGTGCATTACAGGCTCAAGTATTTGAATACTTGGTCAGTGGATGGTGCTGTTTGGGGAAGGTAATAGAACTTTTAGGACATGGGCCCTTGCCAGAGGAAGCATATCAGTGGGGGTGGGTTTTCAGAGTTCATAGTCTCATCCCACTTCCTATTGGTTGTATTTATTTATTTTATTTATTTTATGTGCATAACTTCTTTGCCTCATACACATGTATGTAAGTACTCCACATGTGTGAAATACCTGAGGAAGCCAGAAGAGAGCATCAGATCCTGTGGAAATGGAATTACACAGACCCCTGTTAGGCACCGTGTGAGTGCTGGGAATGAACTCTGGTCCTCTGTGAGAGCAGTCAGTGCTCTTAACTGCTGGACTGTTGCTCCAGCTTCCTCACCCCTTTTTTTTTTGAGAGGATCTCACAATGTAGCTCTGGCTGGCCTGGAACTAATTATGTAGACCAAGCTGGCCTCCAACTCAGAGAGATCCAGCTGCCTCTGCCTCCCAAGTGCTGGGATTAAAGGGGTGCATCACCACACCCGGTTTCTGTGTCTCAGCTTTCTGCTTAGGCCACCTCCTGCCATGCTTCCTTTGCCATCATGGACTCTCCCTCTGGAGCCATAAGCCCAAATAAACTTTTCCTTCTGTAGGTTCTATAAAACACAATGCCTTGATCATAGTGTTTTATCACAGCAACAGAAAAGTAGCTAATACATCCTGGATTAGAGTAGCTAATACACTCTGGTTAGAAAAAGTTGCTGCATTTCAGGTGATACCGTTGTATGTCGCTCATAGATGGAACCACAACTACAGCACCGGCAAACCACCCACATCATTTATCAAGACCCAGAGTTTACTGTGCCAGCGCCATCTTTGTTGCCCAAAGCGGTGCACCTGTGCCACCTAGTGTACTGTGGGGAAGTAGCAGATATGCACGATGAGCTGATGCATCTTCCTTTGCAGATAGGCATAAGAATGCTATCAGCTACCATAGGCCATCACTTTACCTATATTAATTCATCTAATACAAAATCTTTATGGCATAGACACTCTTAACCCCATTTTGAGTATGAAGAAAGTAAGGCACAAAGAAGATAAGTAGCTGAGTAGGTTCAAATAACCAGTGAGAGGCAAGGCTGACTTGAAGCCTGGTGGCGAGGGCTCCACAGGCTGCTCCAGATCACTCTGCTGTGGGTTTGCATATAGTTGCTGTCTTGGGAAATACTGCTCTGAGAGTCAAGGATTATACTGAGTCAGTAGAGAGGCCTTCAGCCATTTATGTCAGTGCAGTAGGACTGAAAACAAAGAATAGAAACTCAATACCTAGGTATTAAGATATGGTATGATCAAAAACAGTCTTGCCTTTGTGTGGCCCATGGAAATCTTTAGGCTAAAGTGCAAGGAGTGTGTCTCGTTCTTCTGGCAGATCACAGGACCCTGGAATGACATAATCCCCCAATTATGCTGTAAGATTCATGAGCACAAAGCCTGCCTCACTTCTATGTAGCTAGTGCTTATCCTAGGACCTGGTATGGATTAAGGGGAATAAGTATTGTTTAACATCTATACTGAGATACAATTCATATACCACCCAACTCATCAACTTGAAGTGTACAATTCACTGGTGGTCAGTAAATTCACAGAACTGTGCAACCATCATAAAAATTGCCTTTCATTGCTCTGAAGCAGACTTCATGCCCATTAGCAGTCCTTCTCCATTTCCTTCTATTCAGTCCTTTTCTAAGCAACCACTAAACTGCTTTCTGTCTCTGTAGCTTTGCCTAGTCTGGGCATTTCCTTATAAATGCAGATATGTATGTATGGTCTTGTGGCTGGCTTCTTCCAATTAGCATAACATTTTCAAGGTTCATGTAGCACACGTCAGTACTTCTTTAGCTCATGGCTGAATAATATTTCATTATATGCTATATCATGTTTTTAATCCAGTCTTTAGTTTTTGGACATTTGAGTTGTGTTGAGTCTGGCTATTCTAATGGTATCAAACATTTGTGTACAAGTTTTGTGTGGATATCTTTTCATTTCTCTTGGGTATATTCCTAACAGTGGACTTGCTGAGTCACATGGGTTTTCTGGGGGGAACTTTTGAGGAACTGTCAGGCTGTTTTCCAATGGCTGCAGCACTCCTAGCATGGCTATGAGAGGGTTCCGGTTTCTCTGCATCCTCCTCAACATTTGCTGTTGTTTTGTTTTTATGCCCATTCTATTCATGGAACTCACAGAGATCCGCCTGCCTCTGCCTCCTGAGTGCTGGGATTAAAGGTGTGCGCCGCCACGCCTGGCTGAGGTTGTTGCTTTTTAATTACAAATGAATAGATTCCTAGATTCCTAGACTGTGGGACCAAAATAGCAATCATGGGGGGTGGGGGGTGAAGAGGAAATGAGGGATTTGTCCAAGGTAGCAATTAGAAATGGAGGCAAGAGAACCTATATCTTTTTCCTTTCTTTTTTGAGACAGAGTCTCCCTGTAGACCTAGCTGGCCTGAAACTCACTGTGTAGACCAGACTGACCTTGAATTCATAGGGATCTGCCTGCCTCTACCTCCTGAGTGGTGGGATTAAAGGAATGCACCACCACACCCAACTTTATTTTTCTTAAAAAAAAAAAGATGTATTTGGGGGACTGGAGAGATGGCTCAGTGGTTAAGAGCACTGGTTACTCTTGCAGAGGACCTGGGTTCAGTTGCACTCACATGGTGGCTGATAATCATTGGTAAGTCCAGTTCCAGGGGATCCAACACCTTCTTCTGTCCTCTGTGGGCACTGCATGACATGGATGCACTTACATACACACAGGCATAACACTCATATACATAAAATAAAAATAAATACATGAATTTAAAAAATAGACTAAGCCTTTTGGTGGGGACAACCTCCCTACGAGAACATGCCTCTTCAAAAGGATCGCCTGTACCCCTCTCCAGAAGAGGAGAAGAGGAAACACAAGAAGAAGTGCCTGGTGCAGAGCCCCAATTCCTACTTCATGGATGTGAAATGCCCAGGATGCTCCAAAATCACCACAGTCTTGGGACTGGAGAGATGGCTCAGTGGTTAAGAGCACTGGCTGTTCTAGCAGAAGACCCAGGTTTGAATTCCAGTACCCACATGGCAGCTAACAACTGTCTGTAACTCCAGTTTAGGGGGATCCTATAGCCTCTTTTGTTCTCTGAGGGCATTGCACGACATGGGTGCACTTACCTACATGCAGGCAATACATGCATACACATAAACATAATAAATAAAATATATATATTTTTAAATCCCCACAGTCTTTAGCCATGCACAAACTGTAGTCTTGTGTGTTGGCTGCTCCACTGCCCTCTGTCAGCCTACAGGCAGAAAAGCACGGCTTACGGAAAGATGTTCCTTCAGGAGAATGCAGCACTAAAAGTACCCTGAATCAAGATGAGTGAGAAACCATCCCAATAAATACATTTTGGATATAAAAAATAAATAAAGAATAAATAAAAGCTTAAAAAAGATTTATTTGGGGGTTGGAGAGATGGTGCAGTGGTTAAGAGCACTGGCTGCTCTTGGAGAGGACCCGGGTTTGGGTCCCAGTACCCACTATACGTGGCAGCAAACCATCCATAACTAGTTCCAAGGGATCCGACTCTCTCTTCAGGCCTCCGAGGGTGCTACATGTATGTGGTACAATTGCACACAGACAAAACACTTATAAAATAAAAACAAATTAAAAAATTTAAATTTAAAGATTATTTCTTTATGTGTATGTGTGTGTCTGTGTGGAGTGTTTACAAGAGAGTGCAATGCCTGCAGGAGGCCAGGAGAAGGTGTTGGATCCACATGGAGATGGAGTTACAGATGGTTGTAAGCTGCCTGGTGTTAATGCTAGAAACCAAATTCAGGTCATCTGCTAGAGCAGCAAATGCTCTTAACTGCTGAGCCATGCCTCTGGCCCTGAAGTTTTTTCTTTTAAGAAAGTAAACAATAGGCCATGTGTGGTGGCATGCCTTTAATCCCAGCACTCAGGAGGCAGAAGCAGGAAGATCTCTGTGAGTTCAAGGCCAGCTTTGTCTACATAGTGAGTTCCAGGACAGCTGGGGCTACAGGGAGACCCTGTCTCAAAAAGACCAAAGAAAAAAGAAAGTAAACAATGAGGGGCTGGAGAGATGGCTCAGCAGTTAAGAACACTGGTTATTCTTGCAGAAGACCTAGGTTCGAATCCCAGCACCCACATGGTAGCTAACAACTGTCTGTAACTCCAGTCCCAGGGGATTCGACAGCCTCTTCTGACCTCTGAGGGCATTGCACGACATGGGTGCAGTTACCTACATGCAGGCAATAAACGCATACACATAAAAATAATAAATAAAATTTTTTAAAAAGAAAGTAAAGAATGAGCTGAGATAACTCAGCAGGTAAAGGTGCTTGCATCTAAGCCTGAAATCTGGGTTTGAGCCCTAAAACTCACATGGTAGGAGAGAAAAGATTCAGGCAAATTGTACTCTGAAACTGTGGCATGCATGACCCCTCAAAAAACCCAAATAAAGGTTAAAAATAAGAAAGAAAACAACACTTGGGAGATTGAAGCAGGAGAATTGCCACAGCTGGAGACCAGCTTGGGCTACATAGTGAGTTCCCAGCAAAGAAAAGAAGGAAAGAAGGAAGGGAGGGGGGAGGGGAAGGAGAGGGGAAGGGAAGGGGAGGGGAAGGGGAAGGAAGGGAGAAAATAAGCTAGGCATGATGGTACCCACTGTAATCTCAGTATTACCAGTTGATGCTATGTTGCTGTAAGCAAAGTTTTTTTGGTAGAATTCATATGTGATGTTGTATTGGGACTTAAAATTTTTGATTTTCTTGTTTTTCTTCCTGGATGACCCTTCAACTCTCAGTAGTTGTCAGTAAATTCTTTTTTTTTTTTCTTTTTTGGTCTTTTTGAGATAGGGTCTTCCTGTAGCCCCAGCTGACCTGGAACTTGCTATGTAGACCAGGCTGGCTTTGAACTCACAGAGATCATCCTACCTCTGCCTTTAATTCTGCTGGAATTAAAGGCATGTGCCGCCACACCTAGCTGTCAGTAAATTCTTAAAGACTGGTGGGCATTGGCAAAGGCTCAAAACTATACTAATTGTTTTCAAAACATACTCTAGTTTTCCTTGCCATGGAGAAGTCTGAAAATAGAGGCTGGCCTATTTCCTAGTTCTTCTTTGAAAATAAGCAGCTGATGGATGGGTCTGTGAGTCATCAGCTGCCCCAGAAGACTGCCAACTCCTCTGACATCAAGTGCCCCAGGGCTCTTGGTAAATGTCAGAAGCTGCCTTGTGTGGTTGGTGCTGGCGTCAACCCAGGCAGAGCAATGTAGTTCTACTCTAAAAAGGGAAGCTCACTGCTGTCCTGTGAAGGATGTCTGAAATAGGAAATGAATTGTCACATGTGCTTTGGGCTACCCAGAAGCTGAAGGCAGGGAAAGAATATTGCTATTCCTGGTTCTAGTTTCTCAAAAATGGGAGAAGTGAGGCTGGAGAGATGGCTCAGTGACTAAGAGCACATACTGCTCATCCAGAGGGCTTGAGTCTGGTGGCTCACATGCCTGCTGCTCCAGTTCCAAGGGGAATCCAGTGCCTCTGGCCTCCATGGGTGCTTGCACGTATGTGCACATACCTCCCTCCCCATAATTAAAAATATTAAAAACAAATCTTTAAAAGGCCAGGAGAAGCATGAAGGCATTTGACTCCTGGGTGGATGAACACTATGATAGGCGCTGATGTTCTGATTCTTGAGAATCTAAAAATAGGACTTGCTACCAAGGGTGATGCCTGCAAGTTGTCCTCTGACCTCCAGTGCACACACGCAGACACACAGAGGCACGAATGTAAAAAAAAAATCTAATAAATAGAATAGTCATTGGGGCTGAAGAGCTGGCTCAGCCGTTAAGAATACTGGCTGCTCTTGAAGAGGACCTGGGTTCAGTTCCCAGAACCCACATGGCAGCTAACAACCATCTGTAACTCCAGTCTTAGGGGATCTGGTGCCCTCTTTTGGACTCTGAGGGCACTGCGCACTTTCATGCAAGCAAAACACTCATACACATAAAATAAAAATAAGTAAAACTTTTTTTAAAAAGTTATTGGAGTGTGGTGTGGTGTGGTGGTGCACTCCTGTAATTCCAGCATTCTGGAAGCTGAGGCAGGTGGAAGATTTTGAGTTCCAGGTCAGACTGGGGCTGAATAGCAAGGACCAGTCTCAAAAAAAGAAAAAAAAAACAAACCAAAAAAGTCTACAATCCAAACTCACCTTCCCCAAGGGTTACTCACAGGAACATCTCAAGTGTGTAAGAAACTAATGAAAACATAGAACTCTGGGGGCTTGTGAGATGGCTTAGTGGTTAAGAACACTTGCTCTTGCAGAGGACCCAAGTTCAGTTCCCAGCACTGAGCGGCAGCTTACAACTCCCTGGAAATGCAGTTCCAGGGGATCTAACATTCTCTGCGGGCCCCAGGCATGCTCACAGTGGACATACTTGCAGGCAAAACACTCATACACATAAAAATAAATAAACCTTGTTTAAAAAAATAGACCTGGGAATGAAAAAGGAATCTACGCAAAATAAATAAATAGCGAAGACAGAAAAAAAGTTAATAATGGAATTTGAAATGTTAAAAAAAATTATTGAAGAAGACCCAAGGTGTAAAAATTATATAATGACTTGAAACTTGAATTCTAGTTTATACCTGCAAGCTTGTTGTGCATTGCAGAGGACTTGAGCTCTGTGCAGAGTTTTACAGTATGGTGTGAACTGGCTCACCTGGGAAAGGTGTAGATGCCTCCTGCTTTCCCAGGGTCCTCTTAAAAGCCTCCTTTTCAGAGGTGTAAATGTCCCATTTCCAAGAGTTAATCTGCCATAATTGTTTTATTTGTTCAGTCATTTTCATGGTAATTGCAAGAGGCAAGTCTGTCAGCCATCTCACTTCAGGGTTGAGAGGATCTGTTAGCTGGACTCCAGGCTTGTCCCAAGGCGACTGCAGAGGACACAATCGCATGTCCTTGGACAAGACCCTCTGCTCTCCCATACTCATCCCAGGTCCTGGCCAATGATCAGATTCCTCCAGTTACAACTCCCAGGCCAAGCAAAAGGTCAAGGTGAGTGACTTTCTCTTGGGTTTTCAAGTCTCAAACTGCACTTGTCCTGTCCTCCTGAAGTATCTTCCCGGCTTCCAATTCCACCGGAGTAGGCCGGCAGGGAGCAGGGTGAGAGTGAGTCAGGGAGGTTCGGGCAGAGCCCCAGGGTACCCAAGTGGCCGGTAAGTGAAGAGCCTAAGGGCCAGGCGGGCGTGACACCACCTGGCGGAGTCTTGGGGAAGAGTCTTTAAAGGAGCGCGCTCCTCCGCTCCCGGAGCAATCCGGAGGGATCCGGCGAGAGCTCTCTTCCTTCGGCTGCCGGGCGTCCCCGGGAGGTAAGTGTCATCGGCGGCGATGGGGACAGCGCAGCGGCTGCCCCACGTGGGGATAGCTCTGCCTGGTGCTGCGGTCGGAGCATGGCGCCCAAGTTTAGGGGAGACCTCGGAGGGCTGCTCCAGCGCGCAGAGGTTGCGCGGGGAAGGCGAGGTGGCTGGGGCCTGGGACCGTCTGGGGGCGGCCACCCGGGGCGCTGCATGGGAGACCGCCACCCGCGCGCAGCAGGGCTCAAGCCGGAGCCCCAGCCCCGCGCACTTGGTGCGCCCTGGCAGCGATCCGCGCCAGCTTCAGCCTGCTCCTGGCCGAGACCCGAGCTCCACGCCTTCCCGCCAGCCCTCTCGCCCCGCGGTCGCTCACGGTCACGCCGGCAGGTCGCGCTCGGCGGCTGGCCAAGCTGGTCCCCGCCGCGCCCGCTCCTAGAGCCACCCCGCCCGGCCCTCTCGGAGCTGCACCCCTAGCCATCCGCATCTCCAGCCGCTCGCTATTTTCACACCTCCCAGTGCCCCGGCCCCGGCGCCTGATTCAGTGCTTAGTAATTAATTTGGCGTTTCAGAATGGTCAGCGGGCTGGATAATGGGCGCATTCATCCCCCGGGCTAATCTGAACAGAGGTGGGAAGAAAGGCTTTCACAGACAGAAAATGCCATTCGCCGAGCGCTCAAAGGGGCTGTCACTCCCAGAATAAATCGCCGCTGCGCCCGCCGGCTTCTCTGGCCATTTCCATACAGCCCCGGCCCGCGCCGTGGACCCGTCGGCCTCCGCCTGCGCCTCCGGGAATCACTCACTGGAGGGCCTTCGACGGGAAAGGCGGGCGGGAGCGGGGCCCAAGCTCCGGCCGATGCGGACCGGGAAACAGGAAGCTGGGGTTAAGGGCAACGGGGACAAAGAGCGAGATTAGAAAATCAAGTGTCGAGCTAGAAAGAGGCGAAGCTAATTTAAGACACAGATGTTAGAGCTTGGGGTTCCGGGA